GAAGAGGCTGCAATGCTTGGTAAGAAATGTACGCATTATCCTGCCCATGCAATTGTAACCCCTCTGTACAGTATTTTCACAAATAAAAAAAAATAAAAAGAAAAATAAAAAATAAAAAATAAAAAGAAGCAAAGCCATTTTCTAATGTTTCTGTGAAAAATGAGTTTATGAATTCAAGAATCACACTGCTGATACAGGAAATGAAGATTTCATTGGTGGTGGGCATGGAATATGTCAGTGTCATCCTATGACAGGATGGTTGGTGCACCAGCTTTGAGTGTTGTCTCTAAGTTCTTGAAGGAGGAAAAAGAAAACAGTCACTGAGCTTTGAGACTGTGAACAGGAAAGATTGGAACTTGGGAGAATAGAGTGTGAAAGAAGAGTAGTGCAGGTAGTTGAGGTTTTTAAGCTAAGTCTCAGCTCCTGCTCTGGACCACTGTGTTCTAGTTCATTCTCAGCCTTATTAAAGCACCAAAGGTAATGAGTTGGATTTTGGTGACAATGGAAAACAGAAATGGACTTCAGAGTGCTTAGACATTGCTTTTATGGAAGTGTTTGATAGCTTTCTCTCAGCCTACTTTGCATACATTGCACATGCTTTAGCTTTGGCTTGTTTGAATCTTTATTGAGAAAAGAAAATTAAAATGGTATAAAATAAGAAGGACAGGATAGAGTCAGAGGGTGAAGTATATGACAGTGCAGTTAAGTTAGTGACTGTACACAAAAGAAGGGGAAGGGTTTGATTTAGATATTAGAAAAGTTTTTTTTTTCAGGTTTGACTTTCTATAAAGACGAGGTTGTGGTCCAATTCTTTCTAGCATTTCACTTAAAGATGATTCTTCAGCTGAGACTGAGAAATGAGAGGGATTTGTGGGGTTTGAAAAATCTATGGTGTTTAGCTTGGGTTGGGGAGAGAGGGGGGAAAGGCATGCTATGGGACTTCCAGGTAAGACATAGACACCTGTGTATATATGGTTCCATGGAGAGATTTGGGGGCAATGGTGCAATTGAGGGTGAAGATCGGAGAAAGAGGGTTTAATACATTACCTTGCACACATTTGGATAAATCCCTCAAGTTAAAGACATAGTGGGACTTGGCTGGTGTTGGTAGGAGATCAACACTCATTCTGTTATAAATTTCAACTGCAGCTTCTACAATGTTTGATGAAGTTTGCCTTACAGCTGGTGGGAAGTCACTTAGAAAGCCATTTAAGATGGCCTAGAACCAAAAGCATAACATTAGAGCATTCTTTTTAACCATACACTTATCTTTCAAATACTCTAGATTTAATATTATTTTCTATCAATAACTAAAAAGTCAAATTTTAACTCCAAGATATCTTGACTGTGAAAGCTCTTCTGTTCATTTGAGGTTATGTTTTCGAGAATGGGCTCACTTCCCTCTTCTGTGATTGTTTAGAGTGCCTGTTTAGAATGGCATATACATGACCTGTGAATACACCTCGGATCTACTCTCAAGTGGTTTACTCTCCTTCCTGATGTGAATCCAGAGAGTCCTGTTGGAAGGGCACAGACTAATCTGGAAATGAAATGTTGTCTCTGATTTTTATGGGCAAATGATCAATGGGCCTATAGATTTCCATTTTCATGCAACGTACTTGTAATTATGGACTTTCATCCCCTTCAGTTAATGGCCCAATCTTCTTCATTCAGATCAGAAGCTTGGATGTCTGATGACACCTACCATTCTTTGTCCTTCACAATCTCTTGAATCCACCTGCTTCTTTCTGTTTCCCCTGACTACTTCATTCTTCTTCCCTCTTCTTCATCTGGTCTTCTTCATGCCCTTCTCTTCACTCACTGGACTGTCCTCTTCCATTTCATCTCCCCTGTCTCCCTTTATTTATGCAAATCCATCACAGCTCTCCTAATGGTTAACCTCTCCAGGCTCCTCTTCCTCTTCTCTTCCTTCCCTATTCCCATCCACATTGGCTGTAATTGCCCATACTCCTTCTCTCAGTCTCCACACTCCCTGTTCCTCTCTCCCAGTGCCTAGCCTATATGGTTTTCTGCTAGATAGGTACTTTCTCATCTGTCAAGTTTTAGGTATTGCAATATTTGCAGAGAGGCTTTCCTTGACATCCCGATCCAAAATAAGTCCTCTCATTAGTCTCTTCCAGGGAATCCATAGCTTATTACAATTTGAAAGTACCTAAATATGAGCTAGCCCCTCCCCTACCTGAGTAGAGTTAGCCCCTCCTAGCTCTGAAGCTCAGAAAAATCATTGTAGTTTTAAAAAATACATTCTCATCACCATCCTATGAAGGATAGAAAAAGTCATCACAGTGCACATGAACACATTTGGCAGATTGCTTGACAGTTACGTTAGTGATTTTGGATTTGGGTCTCACACACAAGATGTTTTGAAATAGATCAAAGCATTTGTTTGTAGTGGACCTTTTGCTGGGCATTAATTAGTTTTTAGCAACTTAATGAATTTTAGAAACTGTCTTTCTGAGGATTCTCCTTTTGGATACCCCAAAATGAGTGGTATTTTGAGCAGGAGCATCTGCTCAAAATTATAAATGTAACCTTAATCTCCAAAGTTGATGAAAATATAGAAAAATTGGAATATATATGTATATTATATATATGTATATACTATATATTACAAATATAGAAATTCCAGCATGTCTATTCTGGATGCAAACAGTTTCTAGCACATATATTAGTGACTCTTGCATCTATCTATAGAACTCAGTCATGATCTGTCTCCATGATAGAAGCTCCATTAGGATGAAGATGGCACCTATTTTGTTTAAAATGATGCACTGGTATCTCTCATATGATATGCTCAGCTGATACCTGTTTAGTGAATGAATGAATATCTGCTAAATTGACATTCATAGGTATTTTTAAAAAGTAGGAGGATCAAGAGTTTGAGGCAAGCCTAGGCTACACAGTGAGACTCTGTCAAAGAAATTTTAAAAAGGAAAAAAACACCAGGAACCTTCCCCTCCCCCCAAAAACCCCAAACCAAAAAAACTAGTGTCCCCTCAAAAAAAGAAAACCAAGATAAAATTAATACATTATCATCGAGGTTACTAAAAACCATGTCTTGGTAGTTGCCTTACATGTCTTGCATGATACATTTGACAACTTTGCAAAGATCTTCTTTTGCACACAATATGCACACAAACTAGAACCAGAATTCTCACAGTTAGGGAAGGATACTTTCACATGAGGATAGTATACATATTTTTGTACAATATATATATATATTGTATTCAATATATATATAGTATATACTGTATACTATATATATTTTGTATATATTGTATACATACACACACACACACACACACACACACACACACACACACTCTTGGCCTGGGCACTGTCCCTGAGCTCTTCAGCTCAAGGCTAGTGCTCTACCACTTGAACCGCAGGACCACTCCTGGATTTTTCTGTTTATGTGGTGCTGTGGAATTAAACCCAGGGCCTCATGCATGCAAGGCAAGCACTCTAACACTGAGCCAACTTCCCAGCCCCTTAAAGTATATTTTTTAAATGACATCAGTTAAATTTGTTGTATGCTGTTTAGTTTAACCTTAAAATATACAGAGATGAATATTTTGCCACATAAATTTTCACAAGCATATATGAACTGTGGTTCCGAAGTCACCTGTAGCAAGCATATTCCAAATCTGTGCAAAGTGTGACTTAGGTTTTGTTCTGCATATATGAATTGTTGAACTAACTTGCAACAGATAATCAAAGAAAGGACATCATCATACCACTGACCATTTAAAAAGTAATAGGTGATTAAACCTTACATACATTACTTCACATATAATTATATGTGTATATATTTTATATACATATTACATATATTCTTAGATCCATAGGCTTCTTTCTGTGATAGAAATAAATCAATTTTATATATGTGTTCCTAACAACAAAGTTATTTTAACTTATTGATTTTCCTTTTCTAATTTTAGTTACCTCCAGGTTCCTCCTCCATTCAATAACAAAGGACAAGGCGGGGAACTATAAAGTCTTCTGTCATAGGTTGTGATTAAACATGACATTTGCAATGCATGAGCCTGTAGTGAGCCCTTTCATTCTACTGTTAAAATATACTGTCTAATCTGGTAATGAGAGGAATATGTGTCCCCACTTGAATCCATTCCTACCCAGTGACCTCAGAGTATCTGAGTTTTTCCATACTTCATTTCTATTTCTTCCCATGAGGTGGTGTGCATTTTCATTGTAAGTCTGTAAGTCACAATGGGCAAAGGCAGCTCCACGGCAGCAAGTGTTTAGCTCTGATGCATCTGCAGGATGTCCCCACGGGGGACACATTTCCATGGATGTGACAACCCATCAAAAAGCCGAGGGTTAAGACAATTCCTTTTCCAGGAACCCAGATTATACACATTTCTTTCTAATTGAGGTGCTTTAGATGACATTTTTGTAGGCATACCCCCAAATTTGCTTTAATGTATTAAGAAAGGGAAGAATTTGCAAATTCAGTATTTTTAAAAATCGGGCACAAACTACTTGGGACACTTCCCAGCACTCATCACCTCGCAAGAATGAGTCTGGATAACATGCACTTTGAACCTCAAATATAGTTACAGTAGAAAGATTATTAAAAATGGGGGTGGGGCTGGGAAGGTGGCTCAGTGGTAGAGCCTTGCATGCATGAGGCCCTGGGTTCGATTCCTCAGCACCACATAATCAAAAAGAAAAAAGCCGGAAGTGGCGCTGTGGCTCAAGTGGTAGAGCGCTAGCCTTGAGCTGAAGAGCTGAGGTACAGTGCCCAGGCCCAGAGTTCAGGCCCCACGACCGGATCCCAAAAAATAAAAAAAATCATAAAAATGGGTAGATGTGCCTAAAAATCATCCTATTGTTGGGCACTGGTGGCTCATGTTTGTACCAGAAATCATCAAAAAAGCCAAAATGAGAGCATGAGTCTCTGAGTTGGAGCCACCCCCTTCTATTAATGTCTGATGTACCCTGTTGTTCCTTCATGCTTTGATCTATTAAGCATGTATTAGGCCTTTATGCATAATAATAGGAAATCAGTGCCCATCCTTTCATTTTCTAAAGCACTCTCCCAAACTATATATCATTTATATTATATGTATATATGTTTAAGCTCTTAAACAACTTCCTAGTCACTCAAAATAATTCCCTATGGATAAAGCTTAGGTGGTTTGGACAGAAAACTTCTGTCCATGCACCCAATATTGAGTACATGCTGGCTCTGCCTCTCTCTCCTCTCAAGAGAGCCTCCGTTGGAAAAGCAGGCCAATGTCAGTAAATGTAAAGACGCATGCAGTTCCTGCACTACTGAGCAATTACTGACAAAGTCAGATTCTTCAGAGCAGTTTTCTTCTCCCTGCACACTTATTCCTATTTTCTGCCTCTGTAACTGTATTCAACCCAAGCACCTCCTGTTCTGGAAATCTCTTCTTCCTTGTCAATTTCATCTTCCTCCACCACCTGGCATTCGGTCTCCCATCATTCTGTTCAAAATAACGTCTCATTTATCAAATACACACACACACACACACACACACACACACACACACACAGAACCATATGCAGAATGCTTCAGGGAAGGTCTTACTACGCAGTCTTCCTTCAGAGTGGAGGTCATATTTGGACACCCCTTCCTGCATTCGTAAAACCACCTTTGAGAAGACAAACATGAAAGGCAACGATGCAAACAGCTGCCAGTTGTTCTCCCGGTGTTCATCATCGTCACCTGCCTTCTGCTCAGGGAGGAGGGACCTGTGATCCCCAGAAACACAATGGGCCACTTTGATTGTGGCAGCCTTGGAATATAGGCTTTCCTCTCCACTCCTGTCTGAGTTTCAATCCACACTCACTTGAAAAATCTGTTTCAGACTGTGCTCCGAGGGCATGGGGAGACACAGCATACTGAAGTGACGGATGAAGCGGGGTGTCACAGGGTTGCGGCCGCCTCCTGGAGGCGCACAGGCTGATACGATGGTTACGTCCTGCATGCAGAGAGAAGAAGAGATGAGATTGACCCTTCCCAATGGCAGGGCACAGAACTGATGTTTTTTAAGGATCTGTCAGGAGCCAGCGGTGTATTACATTTTTGTCCACATGAAGTGACTTATTCCTTCTGACCATGGATGAGAAAAATAAACCAGGATGGTTCAACAAGTTGATCAAGATCAAATAAAGGGGATTAGCAACACAGAAAGCTTTGCTTTTGCCTTTTGGAAAGGTCCCTCAGCTGTCTGCAGACTGGAGAACAGAGTATAGGTGTGTGGAGAGCAGTTCATGACCAGTTTGCCCCCTTTCAATATTCCTAGGAGATCTAGAGTGTTCTGTCTCCTCCATAATTCATGTCAGGGTTTGATCCTCATGGTGAGGAGTGAAAGAGTTTGAAATTGGTTCAACTTTTTTTATGGGTGGTTCTAGGATTTGAACTTAGAACCTCGTGCTTGCTAGGCAGGGGCTCTACCACTTGAACCATACCTCCAGTTCTTAGGAGTAGTATCTTTCACATCAGAGTGGAGACTTCATTACTGAATATTGATGGGAGAGAGAGTAGAACAACCCCTCCCCCCTGCCCCCGCAACAAATACATACATACAGAGCCATACACACCCCATTCTCTATGTAATGCCCAGAACTGTCCCAAGGCTCTGCCAGCAAGAAGGTGATACCAGATGGGGCCCCTTGTCCTTTATCAGGACTATGAACCAAAATAAACTTATTTCTTTCTTTTCCGTGTGTGTGTGTGTGTGTGTGTGTGTGTGTGTGTGTGTGCACGTGTGCGTGTGTGTGTGTGTGTATGCATGCCCCAGTAGTGAGGCTTGAACTCAGGGTCCCTTAGCTTTCTTGCTCAAGGCTGATACTCTACTGTGGCTTGAGCCACAGCTCCATTTCTGGCTTTTGGGTGGTTAATGGGAGATAGGAGCCTCACAGACTTTCCTGCCAGGGCTGGCTTTGAATGGTACCTGATCTTCAGTTCTCAGCCTACTGAGTAGCTAGGATTACAAAGGTGAGCCACCTGCACAGAGTTTAATAAACCTATTTCTAACTTCCTAGTCTAGGTTGTAGTGTAATTAGTCACAGAAATGAGACTAATCAATTGATGTAAAGAAGGAAAGATGGCCACATGTAATCTAAGGAAAGAGGCACCAGAAGAAACTACTGCTGACATCTGATCTTGGGCTTTTAACCATCCACAGTCATCTGTCAGATGGAGAAACTAGTTCAAGCTACCCAGTTTGTTATTTTGTTTATGGTAAGTCTAGCAAGAAAATATACTATATTTCCTTTGTTATGTAAATTTGAACACACCAAGAAATTTAAAACCAAAAGTAACCTGGATTTCTTTCCAAAAGAGTTTGCTTCTGTCATAAAATCCACCAAAATCTTGATACTGTCGAAGTAATTCAATTGGAGGCTGAGAGCCATAGCGATCTAGTCGGGGCATGTTTAAATCATCAACAAATATCACAACTTGTTTATTTCCTGGTGCTCCTGTGGAAAGAAACAGAATGGTTTTTATTCAAGAATTATGATTTCTGGAAGTGGTGCTGAGGCTCAAATGGTAGAATGCTAGCTGTGAGCACAGAGTTCAGGCCTTGAGTTCAAACCTGAGGACTGGCCAAAAAAAAAGAATTATGATTTGCCTTTAGAAAATATAAGACCACTTTGTTGCTTTGTATGTCCCTCCCCCACAGTATAACCCCTGCTTTTACTGTATTTGATGTTGGTATAATTTGTGGAGGGGAAGGGGAAAACCAAATTGTTTAAATAGGGATACAGGTGGACCCATTGCAACAATGAAATGTACAAGTCATTATGTCAAAAAATGAACTTTACAACTTTGGTGTGGGGGGGGTATCAGGGAGGATTGGGTGGGGTGGGGTGGTGGGAGAATGGTAAGGGATGGGAAGGGGAAACAAAGGAGGAGGCTACAATGCTTGATAAGAAATGTACTCATTATTTTGCCCATGTAATTGTAACCCCTCTGTACAGTATTTTCACAATAAAAAAAGAACAACAACAACAAAAAAGAAAATATAAGACCAAACTGGTATGGTTTGAATGTGATCATCTTCACCAAAATTCATGTTGAGTCTTGGTCCCCAAGTAATATGGTATCGGGAGACTTTAAGAAGGAGTCAGACAGTGGTGGCTCACGCCTGTAATCCTAGTTACTCAGGAGGCTGAGATCTGAGCCAGTCCTGGCAGGAAAGTCCATGAGACTCTTATTTCCAATTAACCACCAGAAAACTGGAAGTGGCACTGTGGTTCAAGTGGTAGAGTGCTAGCCTTGAGCTGAAGAGCTGAGGGGCAGCACCCAGGCCCAGAGTTCAAGCCTTGTGACTGGGGAAAAAAGCATTTGAAGGAAAATGTACCTAAGTTGCAGTTCTGGGTGGGCCACCCAGCAGGGCTGTGGGCTGGGCAAGAGGAACCTGAAGCCAGAGCCTGGAGGATGTATTACTGGACTATGCCACTGAGTGGAGGATGAGATTCTGATCCTCATCTTCAGGAAACCTGTCAGCTGTAAGACTGATACCTCACCGGTGAAGTGTCTTTATGGAATCACTCGTAAGAGCCTGCTCCTGAAAGCCTGCAGCCCAGAGTGCATGGATGGCTATCCTGCTCTAGCCAGGAGATAAGAGGCCCTCCATAGACATCAGGGAAGGGAGAAGACACCTGTCTCCTTCTTCTCCCATTGCAGAAAACTCCTATCCTCCTCCACCTCCAGTTCCAGAAGTCACAAACCTGGCTTATGACAAAGGAGGGGGGGTGAGCTTTACATTAGGTTCAAGGCTGATTTTTTAAAAAATTGACCCAGACTCAAAATATCTGAATGTAGGCAGAAACCTGGAGGTAACAATACATGGCTGAAAGTGCTGAGTGGAGAAACACAAATGGTTTCATGCTTGATGCCAGATGTAAAGAAGGTTATTGGTTTTCAACAAAAGAACATAGATTTAGGTTTACAGATACTGGAAGGAGAGAGGGGGAGGCATAAAAAAGGCTGATGATGGGGGCTGGGAAGGTGGCTCAGTGGTAGAGTGCTTGCCTTGCATGCCTGAGGCCCTGGGTTCGATTCCTTAGCACCACGTAAGCAAAAAGAAAAAAAAGCCGGAACTGGCTTGAGTTGGAGAGCCTAGGTTTTTTTTTTTTTTTTTTTTTTCCGGTTGTGGGGGCCTGAACTCTGGGCCTGGGTGCTGTCCCTTGGCTCTTCAGCTCAAGGCTAGTGCTCTACCACTTGAGCCATAGTGCCACTTCCAGCTTTTTCTGCTTATGTGGTGCTGAGGAATCGAACCCAGGGCCTCAGGCATGCAAGGCAAGCGCTCTACCACTGAGCCACCTTCCCAGCCCCGAGTTGGAGAGCCTAGGGACAGCACCCAGGACCAGAGTTCAGGCCCCACGAATGGACCCCCCAAAAAAAGGCTGACGATGTTTTGGCTGAAGGTGATGAGAGAGATGGCTTGCCTGTTAGCAGCAAGATCTGTAGATACTTAGCACACAAAACATGCTATTAACAGACTTTTCCTTGCTGTGGTCTAATTATGGTTTGCCCCCCACTAAAACTCATGTTGAAGCCTGCTCTTCACTGTACAGTGCTGGGCTGTGAAGAGGGATCGGTGCTTTTCTTGAGGAAATAAGTTCTTGTTCTCACAGGACTGGATTGACTATCATGAAGGTGTGATGCTGCAAAGCAAATGTGGCTTTCCCAACTTGCTCTCTCTCTTCCTTTCTCTTACATAGGCTTTTGCTACAGAGTACTGGGCACTCACTGTGATCTTTTTGTAAAAAAAATATTTTTTATTGTTATGTTAGAGGTGATATACAGTGGGGCTACCTTTACATATATTGCATGATATGTACATTTCATTCCTTTTGCTTAGTACCAGCTGTTCCCTCCTTTTCTCTTGTCCCCTCCCTACCATCACCACCCTTGAGTTGCTTAGTTCACTTTCTTCAACGTCCAGTGCAGCTGATGGACCCCTCTGCTGCGTTTTTTTACACCTGCTTTTCACTGATTCTGTGCCCTCCTTCTACCTTCCCTCAGATGCGCATGTGTACACACCACATAGGATGTAAAGAATAGAGTCATCTGAAAACAGTAAGACAAGAAGAGGTCCTTTGTTTCCTTATCTTTGACTCACTGTGATCTTAGACCACCACAATTATAAGCTAAGTAAACCTCTCTTCTTTACAGGGGAGTCAGTCTCAGGTATTTAGTATAGCAACGTAAGTCAGACCAAGACACCCTTTTCATTTATAAATATAATATCCCATTGCCATTCTGTTATGTGCACAGGACTTTTTTTTGGCATCTATTGGTTAAATAAATAACTCGTGTGGGACAAGCTGAAATGATCATTCTTACCTAGAATGTTTTTTCGTTTTCTTTCCAGTTTTGACTCAATGATCTCTTGTGTCCTTGCAGATGATGTTTGAGCAGAAAAATTTAGATAAACAGGGACATAGCCAGCTGATTCTTGAATTCTGTTTAGCAATCCTTTTGCAATAACAGACTTTAAATTAAAAATATGTCAATCAATTTCACATTCAGTCACGTATTTTGCACCAGTCTGTATCAGTACTTATCATTTAGTACAATGGGTAAGTAACAGTATAAAAGGAGAAAGGTTACATCTAGACTGAAATATCTTCTCATACTGGACATTCTATTTAGTTACATTTATTAGAAACAAAGAGGCATACTAATGAGCCCAATCTCAGCAAAACCTGTATAGTTTCATTCTGAAATCCATGTTGGTCACTGTGATCCAAGCTAATTTGATAATGAGTCACAAGAAGACTCAAATTCTTCCTCATTCTTTTTCTTTTTCTCTTCTTTCTCCTTTTCCTTCTCTAGTACTAATGTTTGGATTCAGGGGCCTTTTACTTTCTGAATAGTTGCTCCACTATTTGACCTCTACCCCTGACATTTCTTGGTTTTAGTTATTTTTCCAATAATATTTCATGTTTTGCCTGGGGCTGCCCTGAACCATAATTCTATCATCTGTGCCTTTCCCATAGTGGTGAATCACCAAGTCCAGCTTGTTTGTTGAGACAGGGTCTCACTAATTTTTTTTGTATGGTCTAGCCCGGAACCAAGAGCCTTTAGATCTCTACTCCCAAGTAGCTGAGATTATAGATGTGAATCACCTTGCCTGGCTTAAACTTCATATGAGTAATTTAGGGGGCAAACAGTAAATCCTTGTTTTGCAGAATCCTTTAAAACTAAGGAACCTGAACAATGAGTATTTTCCCTTTCCTTTTTACAAAAGAATTAAAATGTCATCATTCCTGTGTCAAGTAGAAATACACAGGCAAAAGGGGACAGACTGACCTTCATTAATATTATTTTTGGGGACATAAACTGTTCTGGTCAATTCTTACCCAACAAGTGCATAGCAGCCAGAAAAACATCAAGGGAGCAGAATATAAAATCTTCTAAGCATAAACCTTAGTCATAAGGTTTTCTAGTTTATGTAATATTAACCCAAGAATATATCCAGACACTGAAGAGTTTTGAGATAATTGCAGGTTAATATATATATATATATATATATATATATATATATATATATGACAGTTCTATATTCATCCTGAAAAAGTCATACAATTAAAAGTATTTCCTTTACACAATAATGTGGTATTTCTGTTGTGACTAATTCTAAGCCCACCGCACCATCAGTTGTGGACAGAGATTCTGGTGTGATACAGTTTCCTACCTTGCCCACTCCAGTGATCCCAGTGAACAACACGGAATGCTTGACAGCAAGTAGTTTTTCCATTAAATACCCATAGCGCACTGTGTCAGTTGTGGGGACAAGCATTTCAAAGAATGGAACATCCCGACTGTATTTGAAGGCGGGTATGATTCGTTCCCAAGGATCCATCCGTTTGGTGTCAAAGTCTACGTGAATGCTCCACAGGTCACCAGAACTGGGCAGCTGAAGTGGAAAATTAAGTGTCACTTTCAATAGACAATATTGACATATGCCCATATAATCATGTGTACATTCTATAGGAATAGATATACTCATGTGGAAATGCAATACAAATGGAATTGGATTTCTTTTCTAATTATACAGAAATAATTAAATATCAGCGTTTTATTTTATTTTGGCAGTACTTGGATCTGAACTCAGGGACTTGTACTTGCTAGGTAGGTGCTCTACTGTTAAATCATATCTCCAAGCCCCACTTTTCACTGGCTGTTCTTGCTTCCTGTTCAGGCATATGTCTGGACTACATCTGCCTATTTTAGGCTTACTGTAGTTATTGGATGCTAGACATGCACTCATGTGCATAGCTATGGGTTAAGAAGAGGGCTGGGAAACTTTTCTGCCTGAGCTGCTTTGAACCACGATCTTCCTGTTCTCAGAACTCCCAAGTAGCTAGGATTACAGGAATAAGCCACTGGCATTCAGCCCAAGGTTAATTATTTAAGCATCATCATGAAGCACAACAAATGAAAACATCTGATACATTAATTACTAAAATTGCATGCTGGAATTATAAAGTATAATTTTTTTTGAGACAGTGTCTTGCTATGTAAGCCCAGACTGGCCTCCTACTCTCTATGTAGCTCAGGCAGACCTCAAGCGCTTGATCTTCCTGCCTCTGTCTCCCAAGTGCTGGGATTCTAGGCATGTGCCACTTTACCCTGAGAACATTTTCAATTTAATTCCATTTCCAGGGTCATACTCTGTGTCAAATACCATTCTTTGTGTTAGGAACAAGTGCTAGTTGACCAAATCTCTACCTCCAATGGTCAGGTAGATCCACATGGGGTATAAACACTGCAGCTAATATCTGGGAGTTCTAATACAGTTTATTATTGTCACAAAGGCAGGTGACATAGTACATACACATATGTGTATCTTCAAGTTGGGAACTTATTCTATGGCCCAAGCTGCCTTGAACTTGCTCAAGCCTCCTGAGTGCTGAGGTTATAAGTGTACATCACCATGTCTAGTCTTATTTATTAATTCTAATAATTTGTTTCTAGACTTTAAAGGCTTCTGACATATTCATCGTTGTTTCCTACAAATAGTGATGATTTTACTTCATCCTTTTTGGTGTTTATATGTTTTATTTCTCTTGGTCCTTGCCTTACTGCACTGGTCTATATGACAGTGTAGTATAAAGTTATTTTGTGGCTTTTTCACTAAAAAAAAAACCACACCTGGTTGTGACATATTCACTTAACTTCATGACCAATTAATAGATTGCAACCTGTAATTTTAAAAGCATTGGTAGAGATGAGTCTTATGGACTATATAAAAGTCTAGGGAACAATAAACAGGCTATTTTAATAGCCCAGGAAAGAAGTAATATCAACCTAAGATATCCAGAGGCAGTGAAGATGAAGAAAAGACATATTTGAGGGCTGGGAAGGTGGCTCAGTGATAGAGCGCTTGCCTTCCATGCATGAGGCCCCAGGTTCGATTCCTCAGCACCACATAAGCAAAAAGAAAAAAGCCGGAAGTGGTGCTGTGGCTCAAGTGGTAGAGCGCTAGCTTTGAGCTGAAGAGCTGAGGGACAGCGCCCAGGCCCAGAGTTCAGGCCCCATGACCGGACCTCCTCCCCCGCAAAAAAAGACTTATTTGAAAAAAAAAAACACTTAGGAGATAAAATTCACTGAAGTCAGTGTTTTATTGGCTGTAGGGAGGTGAGCAGAGAAAAGAAGAATCTGTAACACTTTCAAAATTATGACTAGTAATACATGACTGTAAGACCCTGAATTGATAAAAAGGAACAGCAATCCAACAGCTCATTCACTGGGATCTGCAGACAGAAGAAAGAATCTGACTTCACATCTGGATTTTTCCTGCTGCTGCTCAGATACCAAAACAGGAGCTTGTTCTGCTCTGACAAATATCCTCTGGTCACCAAATAGCAATGGCCATCCCTACCTAAGAAGAAAAGCTAAATGAAAATCTCTTCAGAGCTTACAACCATCTACAAGGTCTTACATACTCTGCTTCCTCTACATTCACCTCTTGAATCTCGTTTCTTTCCATGTGCTCACGTGCTCATTCCATTCTGACCTCACTAACGTCCTTACTGTTCCACTCGGCAATTGCCAAGTGCATTATTGAGTAGTGGTGGCTTTCGTACTTTCCCTTCCTTCTAACTTTCCCTTCCTTTTAAACATTTACTTATTTTTTTCTAAATTGGAATTCTTGTTCCCTAAATAATTAGCAATTTCTTGATTTTCTTCAGTACTCTATAAAAATATGTCTTTATGAATCCCACTTTAAAGTGGACCCATCATAAATAACCCAGCCCCCCACAGAACCCTGGCGCTCCTTCCCATTGTTACTCAGCCTTAGTTTTCTCTGCAACACATATCACAACCACCCAATGTATTGCATATCGGTTCGTTCCTTCCTGACTCCCTCATTGCAACGGAAACTCTATGAAATTAGGGACTAGAAAAAAGTTTCGGAATTGCCAAGCACTCAAAGATAAACTTATTAATTATAATCTAATGTTCATCTGTCATGAGAGATTTTAGAGACTGCACCTTATTTTTTCATATGGTTGGATGACTCCTAAATGATGAAAAATACAATAAATGTTATCAATGGCTGGAAAAAGTGACTAATTTTTTTTAAAAAAACTTCTCAGTAAACTACTTTTTTTAGAATCAAAGTTTTAAAAATTTTCACCTAAAACTTTAATTCTAATAATTCAAATTATGATGTTAAATGCAGTTGATTCTTACCCTGGCATCAGGATTATCATCAAACTGTGTTCTAATAAATGTATCAAAAGAATCTGAGTAGTTTTCAGTTAAGTTTCCACCCAAAGACCATAAATAGCAGAACACAAAAGTCTGACATATCAAAGAGTTCAGTTTCATTTGTTCCTGGAACAAGAAAGGCAATGTTAGCAACCATAAATAACAGAATATGAAAAGTTGACATATCATCTTTGATCAGTTTCATTTGCTTCTGAAAGGATAAAGACTATGTTAATATTTTATATATTAGCAGAAGAATAATTCTGAATAGTGATGTCTGAAGACATTTTCCTTTATTGAGATTCACACCTTTAAGTGGGCGTGTGTATTGTTTCATCAATGGTTCAAAGAAGGATGATTTCTTATCTACATAATGGAATACTGAGAAAAAAAATCTAGGGCAGAAGTAGGAAATATAGCCGAAGTTGTCTTTCAACTGTTTATTAGAACTTCTTTAGGCCTGCATGAAAGCATTTAAGCAGACTGACAATATACTGTATTAAGAATGTGCTATAGACTACAGGAGAATTGAAAATTGAATGGAGGACTCATCTAATCATCGATATTAGTCCCCTGAAAAATTGATTTTAAAACAAATGACAGACAAGTTAGAATTACTTATTTGCAAAAAAAAAAAAAAACTATACATAATTCCATCTTCCTTGTGTCACAGCTGTAAACAAAACCTTCATACCATTGCCAAGTTACATCCGTCTTGGCCAAACAAGAGAGACTCCAACAAGCAACAGAGCGTTGTAACTTTGCTGATGTCCACTTGCGGGATGGCTTGGCTACACTTTTTATTGACAAAATGTAACCCATCTTCCACATATCGTTGGAAAAGGTTCAGTATGTATTCTTGAGTTTCCTCATTCAGCTGAAAATGAAACAAACAATAGTTTAAAATGACCAGAGTAAATATATAAATTAATCGAGAAAGAGGTTGGTTAAAGTCTGTACGTTTCAAAGTATTCAGTAATGAGATACTTTGTGAGGCTTATCTCATTTGGCCTAAGGATATAAGCCTCACAAAATATGAAACAAATGCGGAGGCTACCGTCTATGCATGCCTAGGAAGAGACACATGGAGGCAGTGCAGCGTTAAGGATTTTCTGCCTTTTGGTTTGGAAATGAGTACAGAGGTGCTCACTTTATAATGAGTTCTTAAGCTACAAATGCATGTTTCACACACTTTTGACAATCCTTTACGCTGATTTTTTTGTGTGTTTAAGAATAATGAACAAGAAGGAAGATAGAAGACGGCATTTTCAACATCTCTGTAAAGTAGAAGAAGTAATTTCCAAAGATCGAAATATAAATTCAGCTTGGCAGGAGACCTCATGCCCACAATACTTGCTGCTCAGGAGGCTGAGATCTGAGGATTGAGGCTTTTTATTTTTATATTTTTAAAATTTTATTGAAAAGATGATGAGCAGTGGGTTACAGTTAAATAAGTAAGATAATGAGTACATTTGTTTTAAAACAGTTATCCCATCCCTCATTTTCTCCCTTTTACCCATCCCTATTCCGCTTCCCCCAAAGTTGTAAAGTTCATTTCCAGCATAGCGTCAAGTGAGTATCAGTATCAATGTTGCATTAGTTCATACGTTGTCCTGCTATTTCTGTGATTCCCTTTCCCTTCCAAAGATTGGATAAACTTATATAAAAGACATAAGGTTCAGAAAACTAAAAGAGGAAAAAAAAAGAATAACTACATACAGGATATAAAAAGTACCTCTTGTTTCTGATTCTTGGAGTTCATGTTGTTACGCTTCATTATATATGGTCCTATGCGAGTAACAATTGGGTTATTGAGATCTTGTTAAGTATATCATAGAAATATTCTAGTTCTTACAAATGAGGGAAACCATGGCTCAATTTTTAATAGAACCAGATCTTATTGACTATGAAATAATTCTCCTATAATCTTTTAGTCTCAATGTTTAAAATGGCTATAATAACTACCAGTTAGGTGCCCAAGTGAAGCTGAATATTATCCATCTCTAGAGAATATAGATGCCTATCTGGGTCTCAGTGCCTAATTTTCTGGGTTGTTTTTCTTTTTTTTTTAAAAATGAATTTTATTTATTTTTTCTTAATATATATTTTTATTGCAAAGACACTGTACATAGGGGTTACAGTTGCATGAGCAAGGTAATGAGTCCATGTTCTATCGAGCATTGTTATACCCTCCTTTATTTTTCCCCTACTATCCTTTTCCTCCCCACCTCCCCAACACCCCTCTCCCCTCTCCTACCCCTCTCCGCAAAGTTGTAAAGTTCATTTTCAACACACTGTCTTGTACATTTCATTGCTACAATGGGTCATCCAGTATCTTTAGTTCAGCATTTTGTTATTTTCCTTCCCCTCCCCAAATTAGAAAAATGTATATACAAGATGCAGGACATCGGAATCAAATACAGTGACAACATACCATGGGGAAGAACATACAAAGAAACAAAAAAAATCACACAGTACATTATAAGTACATTAAAAAGAACAGCAACAAAGATAAAACCTTGAGGTTTGAAGCGAGTTTGAGCAGGAGTTTGTGAGACTCTTTTCTTTTTTTGGGGGGGGGTGGGTCCAGTCGTGGGGCCTGAATTCTGGGCCTGGGTGCTGTCCCTCAGCACTCTACAACTTGAGCCACAGCGCCACTTCCGGCTTTTTTCTTTTTTGCTTATGTGGTGCTGAGGAATCGAACCCAGGGCCTCAGGCATTCAAGGCAAGCGCTTTACCACTGAGCCACCTTCCCAACCCCATGTGAGCCTCTTATCACCAAAAAACTACAAGAGGAGTTTTGGCTCAGCTGGTGGAGTACAAAAACCACAGTGCCCAGGCTCTGAGTTCATCATGCCCCAGGACTGGTACATTAAACAAAACAAAACAAAACAACAACAACACAAAACCCCCAAACTCTGAAAGACATTATTATTATTGTTTTGGAATTCATTTTGGTAAATATTATTTTATTTGATCAGAGTCACAGAGACATTGTGTCTTTGGGTTCCTCCCTTAGATAACCTTCTTTGTTTTCACTGTGTATGAATGTCTAGAATCCTATATGAAAGACATTACTAAGAGAATAAGGAGGAGACAATGCTTGATAAGAAATGTACTCATTACCTTGCTCATGTAACTGTAACTCCTCTGTACAGTATTTTCACAATAAAAGACTTATTAAACAAAAAAGAGAATAAAAGTTGAAAGGTTTATACAATTTGAAGAGAAATCAGGGTATTGTTAAAGAGAATAAAAACACAACCCATATACAAAAAAATTTGCAAAAGATATAATCTGATGAAAGAGTGTATAAAAATGTGCAAAGAGCCGGGTGCTGATGGCTCATATCTGTAATCCTAGCTACTTAGGAGGCTGAGACCTGAGGATCCCTGTTTAAAGCTAGCACAGAGTAGGAAAGTCCATGACACTCTTTTCTCCAATTAAATATCAAAAAGCCAGAAGTAGAATTGTGGCTGAACAGTGTTCAGCCCTGAGCTCAAGTCCTAGGACCAGCTCATACACAAAAGCGTACAAAGTGCTTTTAACACTCGACATTAAGAAACAAACAATTCAGTTAAAAATGCTCAAAGACCTTCCCTAACATATACCTTATTAGATGATATACAGATGGCAAACAAGTATATATGAATCATCTATGATTGAGGAAACTGCAAATGAAAACAAGACATTGTTATGTGCCTGTTAGGATATATAAAACACAAAGCACTGGCAATGCCAAATGCTGGCAAGTATTAGAGCAGAAGCAATCTCCTCCCCTATTGGTGGGAATGGAAAATAGTATAGTCACTTTGGAAATTATTCTGACAATTTCTTTCTTTCTTTTTTTTTGGGTCCAGTCGTGGGGCCTGAACTCTGGGCCTGGGCGCTGTCCCTCAGCTCTTCAGCTCAAGGCTAGTGCTCTATCACTTGAGCCACAGTGCCACTTCTGGTTTTTTCTGCTATGTGGTGCTGAGGAATCGAACCCAGGGCTTCATGCATGCAAGGCAAGCACTCTACCACTGAACCACCTTCCCAGCCCTATTCTGACAATTTCTTACGGAGCTAAACATGTACCATCTGATCCAGTAGCCACAGTCTTTGGTAGCTGCTCAAATGAGCTGAAAAATATTCATACAAAAAGCTGCATGATAGTGTCTACACAGCTTTACTCACAATTGCCCAAATCTGGAGCACTCAAGATGTCTTTCAGTAGGTGAATAGACAAGCAAATAATAGAATATTATTCAATGCTATAAAGAAATGAGCCATAAAGTCACAGAAAGACACAGAAGTGCCTTATATGCATGTTACTAAGTTTTTTTTAAAGAGCCAATCCACAAAAGCTTTGTACTGTGTGTTCCCAGTATGACCTTCAGGAAATGGTAAAACTACAGGGACAGTAAACAGATGGGTGACTGCTAGCAACTGACAGCTAGAAAGAAGAATGAATAAGTAGAGAGAATTTTAATGTGGGATACTATAATAGTGGAGAGATGACATTATACATTATATAAAACCATAGCCAGGCGCTGGTGGCTCATGCCCGTAATCTTAGCTACTCAGGAGGCTGAGATCTGAGGATCGAGGTTCAAAGCCAGCCCGGGCAGGAAAGACCGTGAGACTCCTATCTCCAATAAACCACTAGAAAACTGGAAGTGGCGCTGTAGCTCAAGTGGTAGAGCGCTCATCTTGAGCTGAAGAGCTGAGGACAGCACCCAGGCTCAGAGTTCAAGACCCACGACCGACCAAAAAAAAACCCCCAAACCATAAACTGTTAAAAACAAGGGACACTTTGGAAGAAAGGGAGCACATGGGTAGTTTCTGATCTTTGTAAGCAATTTTCCTGTAAATCTAAAATGTCTCTAAGAATAATAAAGTCTGTCCCTTAAAAAAAGTGACCTCAAGAAGATTTAAAATATTTGTAACCCCTCTGTACAGTATTTTCACAAGAAAAACTTATTTAAAAAAGGTTTAAAATATTAAGGAGGCACATGATGAAAGCTCTCCGTTCTGAGAACTGCTTCCTTAAAAAGGTAATATGAAATGATGCTATACGATTCTTAAAATATTGATATCTAAGAATGAAGGAGTCAGAAAAGGATGACATTGTTGGAGTGAGGAATGACCTGGTAGAAAAAAAATACATCAAAAGACTACATGTCAATCTTAGATGAAGAGAAACTCCTGTTTAGCCTGGAGAAAGTCCAGAGGCTGCTGTGAGTTGAGTTGTTCTGGAAAAGAAGGAAGGAGGGGGATGGGGAAAAGAAATGTACTCATTACCTGACTTATGAAATGTGAACCCCTCTGAACAACACCTTAATAATTATAACAATAAAATTACTTAAAAAATGTAGAAGCTTTCCTTCATTTTGGGTGGAGTCTTGCTTTTAAGGTTAGAATGTGTCTTAGGTTTTATACACTTGCAATTAGGGTGACAGTAAAAACAAATATTTTAATGGTTCTCAGAGGCATTAGAGGCTATAATAGTGAACCTTGATTGTCAACATTTCTAGAGAGGGTTAACTGAGTGAAGAGGACCTGCCCTGATCGAGGACCTGCACTATCCCATAGGTTGGGGACAAGGAAGGACTAAAAGGGGAAAAGCAGGGAAACACATTAACTCAGACATCCCTTTCCCCTTCCAGACAACCAGGATGTAAGCTGCTCTGCTCTGCCATGCTCTCCTGGACAATGTGAAAATGTGAGCCAAAATAAATCTTTCCTCCTTTTATACTGTTTTGTGGTGGGTATAAGAAAAGTCAACATGCCTACAAAGCAATCTATGTGTAGATTTCAATGTTCTTTTCATTATAATTTCCTTTTAATACCTCCAGGCCTCCTGCAAGTCTTTTCCAGTGCCTCAGTCTCTTTCAACTGTGTCTTCAGGAAAATGCAAAGACAGGCAGAGGAGGGCAGGTAGGAGAGAGACTAGGCAGGCTGACAAGGTGAGGTACTAGATGTTAAGGGTGGACTCAAGGGTTATATAAACATTCCGGGAGGATCCAAGAGTCCTTAGGGGGACAGATGGAATTCCCTTAGTCAAGCACAATGATACCTTAACTTATTGCCACTTGTGCACTGTGCGGTCCAACAGATGGAGATATGGGGGAAATACCTGGTTGTACTTACTTTTTTAGAAATATCTTTCATCCATGTTTTCACGTAAGGCATCCATTTCAGTTCTTCAGGATCCACAAACACCATCCCGCATCGACTGACGGTGGCAGGGGAGGCTACCTTTAGATCTTGTACCTAAAATTGAAAAATGTGGGTCAGGAAGTAGCTAACACACTACCTTCCTTATCCATCTAACTTCAACATTAATGATTCATACCTCTGAAAGTTTAAGTTAACACTGATGGGCTTTACGTGGAGGAGAGGGGGAGAGCAATAAGTAATACGAAATGCAAGAAGAAAGTTAAGTGAAATGTAGGGTGACAAACATCCCACAAATATAGGAGGATACTGTCAATCCCTATGGCCAGGAATAGGCGTTTCTGATGTTCTTTTTTTTCTCTTTACTTTAGTCCTCACCCTCATTCTTGTATTTCAGCGCCTAGCTAAATATCTAGAACACTGTAGGCATTCGATGAATATTTGAGAAATGAACAATGCCCAGGTGGTATCTTGCACAGTGTTTTCTATCGGTATCTGATCCACAATTTTCTTTCAATCCTTCACCAAATATTTATACTACAGTGAGATGATTCATTTATATAACAGTTTTTTAACTTAGAAATAATTTAAGCTGGGTACTAGAGGCTCATTCTAGTAATGCTAGCTACTTAGGAGGCTGAGCAGTTTGAAGATAGCCCAGGTAGGAAGGCTGACCATGAGACTCTTATGATCAATTTATAAGCAGAAGTGGAGTTGTGGTGTAAATGGTAAAGAATCAGCCTTGAGTGAAAAAGCTAAGGGACAATGCCGGGTAGGGGTAAGAAAGACTGTAAGACTCTTATCTCCAATTAACCACCAGAAAACTAGAAGTGGACCTGTGGCTCAAAGTGGTAGAGCACTAGCCTTGAGCAAAAGAGCTCAGGGACAGTGCCCAGGGCCTGAGTTCAAGCCTCATGATAGACAGACAAACAAACCAAAAACCCCAAAAGAATAGATGCTGAAATTAACTTCCTGTTCATAGAGCCATAGGATAATTTTTGATGTTTGGTCAGGATTTATAATCTATTACAAGAGAATAGTCTAATAAATATTCACTAAATGAACTAAACACTATCACACAGACAAATGACATATCATTGTAAGAAAAATAGAAGCTATTGAAGGCATGCCAACTTGATGAATGGTTTCACTTCAGTGATCATACATTTACCTCAAACAGCATGTGGATTTGAGGTGTGAGTTTAATCCTTTCACTGTTAGCCAGGCAAAGCATCTTGTTATCATCCAATACTGTGTTCATATTTTCAATCCAAAGAGCATCCACTGGCCCGTCACTTATGATCCATTTATGGTCTTCTGAAGTATCATTTACAGCTGCTCTCACACTTAGAGCCATCAAACCATCTTTCCATTCCAAGGTTATGTTATTCACTTCACCATATAATTCACCCATTGTGATTGATTTAGGATTAAGAACGTAAGTTTTTACTGCTTGATAAAAGGGATTGTTTATGCCAAGTTTCTGTAAATTCCCTAAAGTTTCTGCCAGAACTTGGTAAACTGTGGTCTTACCACCTCCTGTTGGCCCAACTAACATAACACCATGCCTCACAAGCATAGTCTCGTAGAACTGTATTACTTTTTTAACCATACACAGCTCAGGCTGAAGGTTTTGTTCAGTCATGACATCCACAATCGTTGACTGTAAAATACCATAATCATGTTCTGGAATTTGAACTCCAGGAAAAAGATCAGATATGATTCCGCTGACAAAACAAAAATAAATGTCAATTATGAACCACTTGTCATTGCTGTTTTTCCAGATTTGTTACAATTAATTGATTCTTTGGGCATACATAGTAAGACTGTTCTACATGCTTTACCATAATGTCATCTTTTTCCAGTATACTGTATGATTTTGTTTCTTGTACAGTGGGCCAGTGTTCTTAAGTATAATAGAAGGATATCTTGGGGACAAGTGATATGTTTTATGATTCTGTATTTGCCCATAGTATGTGTTATAGTGATGAGTTTATCAAGTTTTTTTTTAATAATTATACCACTAAAATATGTGGGCCCTCAGCAAAACCAGAGGGAAATTGAAATAGAAAATTGGTATGAGGTAGAAAAAAGAGAGGAAGGGCAAAGTGGACTGTTCTATGAGAAAGTTTTCAGGAGAAGTTTCTATGCGAAGAAAGAAATGAAATCCTCTCCTTACCAAGTGTACATAACTACATCTGAGACACAGTAAAGACATAAAATGACAAGAATATTAGATGGGAGTAGAAGAGATAAGAGGTAAGAAGAGATAGAAAGGGGCTGGGAAGGTGGCTCAGTGGTAGAGTGCTTGCCTTACATGCATGAGGCCCTGGGTTCCATTCCTCAGCACCACATAAGCAGAAAAAGCCGGAAGTGGCACTGTGGCTCAAGTGGTAGAGCGCTAGCCTTCAGCTGAAGAGCTGAGGGACAGTGCCTAGGCCCAGAGTTCAGGCCCCATGACTGACCAAAAAAAAAAAAAGAAAAAAAGAAGAGACAGAAAATCTATAACTGTGCAATTAAAAGTTAGTAAAGTGAAAAAAATTAAAGTAGACAGATAAACTTTTGTAGGATAAAATCGTTTATATATAACTTAGAGAATGACAGATCTAGATGTTTCTAATGTTTATATCAGATTAAAGCTATGAGTACCTATAGATACTCACAAAGAAGAGCATAAAGGAAAAATACTCTAAGAACAATAAATACAAATGACCAATAAACACAGCAAATGAAGCTCAAGAACATTAGTAATTAAAGAAATGTGTATTAAAAATAGGCTTCTGTATTTGGCTTCTCTTTAAAACACTTAATGAGAAATAGACATTTTCATAAAGTCATTTATATAAATGTAAAAGGGTAAAATACTTTATGTATTTTTTTTGGGGGGGGGTCTGGTTCTGGGGCCTGAACTCTGGGCCTGGACGCTATCCCTCAGTTCTTCAGCTCAAGGCTAGTGCTCTACCCTTGAGTCACAGCGCCACTTCCGGCTTTTTTCTTTTTGCTTATGTGGTGCTGAGGAATCGAACCCAGGGCCTCATGCATGCAAGGCAAACGCTCTACCACTGAGACACCTTCCCAGCCCATACTTTATGTATTTAGAGGACAACTTTATGATAGAGTCTACTTTAAATTAAAAATATGGAAACCTTGTGGCCCAGGAAAGTTGTTTCCAAGAATCTCTTCTAGAAATATCAAAATGTACTAAGATACATTAACACTCTGGAAGAAAAAAATATTGAGTTGACGAATATGTTCAAAGTACTTTATATAGAATAAATAGAAATAGAATAATAAAATAGAAATAGAATAATAAAAATAGAATAATAAATAATAATAAATAATAGAATAATAATAAGAAATAAATAAATAATAGAATAAATAATGAAAATAGAATAATAAAACTTGTAACCATTTTAAAAGCTAGGCACCAGGGAACCCTAGCTACTCAGGAAAGTGAGACCTGGAGGTCAATCTTAGAGTATCAAGGTTCACTGGGCAGAAAAAGTCTGTGAGGCTTCATTTCCAACTACCAGAAAAATACTTGGATTAGAGTGTGGTACATATAGCAGAGCACTGGCTTGAGCAACGAAGTGGAGTGTGCTTGGGTATGAGTTCTGGTACTGGTAAAAAAAAAATAAAAGAAATTGAAAGTGGGGATAGGGATGAAAACGAGTAACAGAGTATGAATTTATCAAAGTACATTATATGCATGTTAAAAATGCCACAACAAGACTTCTTTGTACAATTAATTGAAATGTTAAGTGTTAAAAATGTGTGTAAATATACATATATTAAAATATAAAAACTAAGCTAATATAGCATGGCTCTATAGTGGGTAATATTTATATCCTTGCAATGCTAAAAAATTGGGTATTTCACTCAAGTTGTATTAGAATATATCTATTCTGTGAGGACAGGTAGAATGGAAAAAATGAATTACATATTCTTATTTTCCCTTTAGTATTGAAGATATAGCAAAGCAGGAACCAGTGGTTCACATCTGTAATAATAGCTACTCAGGAGTCTGAGACCTAAAGAATTGTGGTTGGAGGGGGTAACAATATTTGACAGGAAATGTACTCATTACCTTACTCATGTAACTGTAACCCCTCTGTACAGTATCTTTACAATAAAATAAATCTGTGTTTGATGTTGGTATGATTTGAGGAGGGGAAGGGAAAAAAACAAATTGTTTAAATAGGGATACAGGTGGACCCATTGCAACAACAATGAGATATACAAGACGCTATGTCAAAAAATGAACTTTATAATTTAGGCGGTGGGGGGGGGAGTGTAATTGTGGAGATGGGAAGGAAGGGATGGAAGGGGAAAAACAGAGGAGAGGGCAACAGTGCTTGATTAGAAATGTACTCATTACCTTGCTCATGTAACTACAACCCCTCTGTACAGTATTTTCACAATAAAAAACTTATTAAAAAAAAGAAGAATTGTGTTTGGAAATCATCCCAGACAGAAAAGTAAAGTGACTTCATCTTCAATTAACCAGTGAAATGCCTAACTACAGTTTTGGCTCAAGAAGTAGAGCAGAGGCCCTGAGTTCAAGTCTCAGTTATTGGTATACACACACACACACACACACACACACACACACACACACACACACAAGAATGGCAGATGCATGGCACTATGAAGTATGGATGGGAATAGCAAGATAAAATGGGACGTGGGGGTTGGTGAAGGGTAAATAATTATTTACCATGAAACTTATTTGTGAAATGATTTCATTTTTGATTCTATGTACATATATGACTTGGAAAAACAAAATTAAACAATAATGAAGTAGATAAAACCAATAACATTTATGTTAAGCTCTCAGTCTGTGTTCCCCCCGCCCCCCCCCACCCCGGAGCAATGTTTGAGGCTTGACACCTGTACTCTAATGTGAATTTGTATATCACACAGTCTGGTGATTAAATTTATTTTTGGGGGGGGGTTGGTCATGGGGCTTGAACTCTGGGCCTGGGCGCTGTACCTGAGCTCTTCAGCTCAAGACTAGCACTCTACCATTTGAGGCACAGTGCCACTTCCAGTTTTCTGGTGGTTAATTGGAGATAAGAGTCTCATGCGGACTTTCCTGCCTGGGCTGGCTTTGAACCACTATCCTCAGATCTCAGCCTCCTGAGTAGCTAGGATTACAGGTGTGAGCCACCAGCATCTGGCTGGTGATCAATATTTTACAAAAAGTCATTAGAATAATGGTGAAAGTTTATTATCTTCAATTTGAACTAGACAGTTCTTAAACTGTAATTGGAAACTCCAGGAACATGAGAAATGTATCAGCTTTTTAGAATGAAAATGACCGAAGAGCACCCGTTTACCCTATGTGAATATGATGCTCTGTTCTGTGACACACAGAAACTTACCTGAACAGAAGGGCATCATCTGTTAGAAATTTTGGCAAGTTGGAGTCTCGCAAAGCTCTTATCAGTACCACGTCTTCGCTTAGGTCTGGATTCTCTCTTTTTAAAGATCTAAATTCAAATGAATAGTTCATGTATCATTGCAAGAACATAAAACCGAGTGTGATTTATAAACCATGGGTCAGGAATTCTGCTTGAGTCCTGGCTAGAAGCAGACACTTGTTTTCTTTTGTGTCCCAGTGTCCATCTCCGTCATAACACAGGCACAGATCATGAACTGGCTATATAGTCCTGAGGAAGGTGACAATTGTAGTTTTCCAACCTCTCTCCCCAAAGGGCAAGCTTTACTCAACGTGAGTCTACAGCTCTCTGAATGTATTGTGACAGCACCCATTCTAGTACTTTTTTTGTCTAGAATGTGCTGCCTTGCTCTTTTGCAAACACTTATTTACCTTTCAAAACCCAGCCCAGTTACTCCCTTCTCTGGGAAGCCACTGTACCCCCTCTTCTCCTTCCCAGGAAAGGCTGGGCACAGCCCTATTGTTGTCTTGGCCACACTGTATGTATACTTTAGTGTACTCTTAGTCTTGCCTATGAGGCTGCAGTCCTATTAAGAGCCAAGGTTTCTGAACTTCCTAGTTCTTTAGACCAAAAATGGCAATTCCGCAAAAAGGAGACATATCAAATCTTGGAAGTTAAGGGAGCAGAGTGAATAGAGAGGGAAGGAGATTCTTGTAAAGCTGCACAAGCCCTGAAGGTGTAGAGACATTGGTCCATATTATCAGTGAGTCATGGCTTGAAAGGAAGGACTGGAAGGAAGACATTGCCTCAGAGACTCTGGGTAAGCTGGGGACTCCAAGTAGTTACAGAGAGAAGTTGAGGCTTGAAATGAGGAAAGATTCATGCTTTGCTAGAAACTAGATAGCAGCTCAGGCTTGGTTCACACTGTGAAGGCAGAGATGAAGTTTCTGACATCTGAATTGACTATAGAATAATGAAGTTTCTTTGAAGTCTCCAGGCTTCTTTTAGGCACAAATGTAACTCACTTTAGTGTGCATGCATATCAAACTGTCTGATAATGGCAAAGGCATTGGTATCCTAAAACCCAATGTAGGTGGGGCATTTGGGGTAAATGAATGAGCTGATGCTTGCTTAGGTTCATGTTCAGGCTGAGGACAACCATGATGGGGGTCCCAGTGAGGGATGTCATAGGAAGGGTGTCATGGGAGTGCCAAAGGATGGATGTTGGCAAGAGCTAACATTGCTCAGTCGCTTAGTTCACTAGCTAAGCTCAAGCCTTGCTCTGAGAGCATTTGATGCATTGAATACCTGTGATGACATGCTTTGGAATTTCACTGTGGATCACTTTTGTTTCTTACCCAGCCATGACCAGTACAGACTTTACAGCTCTCATGCCAAAGTCATAATGATCCTGCTGAGACAGCTGTTCGCTGCAGAGCTTGTACATCTGCGTCATCTTTCGTGCTAATACTTTACTGGATTCAAATCCTTCAGAATATAGAATTACCTAGAATAAAACAATAGAACAAAGTGCTTCTTATCTTGTTTTGCTGGCAACTTATTGGCATAACACCAGTGTATTCAGAGTCTGCTCTGGGCATCATACCTTTCCATGTTGTTCTATCACAAGAGATGTAATACCATGTGTGGTGGCTCAAACCTGTTATCCTAGCTCCTTGGAAGGTGGAGATCAAGAGGATCATGGTTGGTTCCAGGTTAGCTTGAGCAGAACAAGTTATTAGACCCCATCTCTACAGAAGAAAGCTCTACAGGTAGTTAGGTACCTGTAATCCCAGTTATAGGTAGAAGTATAAAACAGGAGGATTGCAGTTCAAGCTGGCTTGTGAAAAAAGTGAGACCTATTCCACCTTATCTCTCAGGAAGCTGAGATATGAGGGTTTAAAAACAGCCTGGGCAGGAACATCTGTGAGACTTATCTCCAATTAACCACAAGAAATCTGGAAGTGGCACTGTGGCTCAAGTGGTATAACACTAGCCTTGAGCTGAAGAGCTCAGGGACAGTGTCCAGGCCCAGAGTTCAAGCCCCATGACCAAACAAAACAAAACAAAACAAAACAGCAAAAAACAAAAGCAGAGCACAAAAAAAAGGACTGAACGTGTAGCTCAAGTAATAGAGCACTTTCTAAGCAAGTGCAAGTGCGTATCTTTGAGTTCAATACAGAGAGAGAGACAGAGAGACAGACCGACAAACAGACAGACAAACATACAGACAGAGAAAGAGGGAGAGAGAACACTTCAGGATTTGATGATGTTAAGAGAAAGAGTTTTCTGTCACGGAAGGTGGCAGATGGAGTGCTATACAGAGGAATATCGGGGCACTGGTTCAGCCTTCTCTCTAAGTGAAGATGTGATCTTAGTGATAGCTTTTGAAATTGTATCCATGGAGGTTGGATGGTGTTATAAATCCTGAGTACAAAAGTAAGATGGGGCTTCTCCAGTCTAACATGAATTCCCACCCTTCTGGGACAGGATTGCTTCCTGCTCCCTTTGGGTTCCTTAGGTGTCCACAGAAACTGTGCAAAGATTTTCAGGTTCTCTTCTGGCTATGTGGTCTCTCTGCTCCTGAGAGGTTTCCACATGCTTGGTTAAATGAATTGAGGGACACTGGATGCCAGTGTCTCTCACTTGTAATCCTAGCTATTCAAGAGGCTGAGATCTCAGAAGCACAATTTGAAGCCAGCCCAGGCAGGAAAGTCCGTGAGGTTCTTAGCTCCCATCAACCACCCCAAATCCAGAAAGCCAGAAATGTAGCTGTAGCTCAATTGGCAGAGTGCCAGCCGTGAGCAAAAACGCTCTGGGACAACCAACCAACCAACCAACACACACACACACACACACACACACACACACACACACACAATTAATTGATGAAGCCTAGTGTGCTTTGACAGCGGACATTGGAGTGAACCTTTCTTTCTATTCATAATCTTCCCCAAATACTGTTAGCTTCACAAATAGGAGTTGGAATAATGTAAAGATTTCTTACAGGTGTCTCTTTTGTTCATTACTCTATCATTATCAATTTACATTGAACACCACAGGTGTTTAAAACTATTTACTGATTATAGACCCTGAGTATTCAATTTGTAGAAATAATATGAATAATACCTTAAAGACTAGTATGTTAAAATCTGTCCAGTTCTAGTACTGAACAATGTAATAACAGGACAAATCATGAGATAGGAATAAAATGTTGGATCTGGTTCTAAACCCAGTTTTCTTTCTACCAGCTTGGGATAATGAGCAAGTCATTCATTGTGCTTATTCATAGAGAAAATCAAGGGAGAAGATATTACCTGTCTTAAGTTCTTCACCTCTATGCATTGAGAAGCTACGGGGATATCTCTGAGGTGTGCTGCATGCTGTAATTCTTCTAATGATTGGAGTTGATGGGGCCTGTTCAAGTCTTAGTCAATATTCATCATGTAGATGGATATTTTGAATTAGATGTTAGTGAAGGAGTTCATTAGCTATACAAATAACCTGTATTTCTAAGGTATTCCCCTCTAAAACGAGTTCTACATCTTATTAAGAAATTCAATGCTAAAGTCAGGTGCTGGTGGTTCATGCCTGTAAATCTTAGATATTCAGGAGGCAGATCTGAGAACTCAGATTGTAGCCAGGAAAGTCTGTGAGACTTTTATCTCCAATGAACTACTAAATATCCAGAAGTAGAGTTGTGGCTCAAGTGGTAGTGTACTAGCCTTGAGCAAAAAAAAGCTCAGGGACAGTGCCCAGCCCCAAGTTGAAACTCCAGGACCAGCACAACAAAAGAGAAAGGAAGAAAGGAAGAAAGGAAGGAAGAAAGAAGAAAGAAAGAAGGAGAAGGAGGAAGGGGGAGAAAGGAGAGAGAGAAAGAGAGAGACAGACAGAGAGAGAGAGGGGGTGGGGTGGGGGAGAAAGAAATCTAATGCTGATTTGGGCCCTGGTGGCTCACATCTGTAATTCTAGATATTCTTGAGATTGAGATCTGAAAATCAAAGTTCAAAGCCACCTTGGTCAGAAAAGCCTACAACACTCATATCTCTAATTAATAAGCAAAAAGCTGGAAGTGGAGGTGTGGCTCAAGTGGCAGAACACCAGTCTTGATCAAGAAAAGCCAAGTGAGAGCACAAGAACTTCAGTTCAAACTTCAGTACTAGGAGAAGAAATAGAGAACAGAAGAAGAAAGAAATTAAGCCAGGCACAGGTGGCTCACATCTGTAATCCTAGCTACTCAGGAGGTTGAATCTGAGGAAGGCAGTTCAAAGCCAGACAGAGCCCATGAGACTCTTTTCTCCAATTAACCACCAGAAAACCAGAAATGACACTGTTGCTCAAGTGGTAGCGCACAAGCCTTGAGATGAAGAGCTCAGGGACAGTGCCCAGGCCCCACAACCAACAACAACAACAACAAAAAAAGTAAGAAAGGAAGAAAGAATGAAGGAAAGGAATAAAGGAAGAAAGAAAGAAAGGAAAGAAAGAAAGAAATTCAGTGCTGAGCACAAGGGATCTTATGGAATCCTGAGAATGCTCAAAGGTGTTGGTGGTCAGAAAGACATATATGTGTGTAGGAACCTGCAAAGCTGTATACTTTCTTGTGTATGAACTCTACATCAATAAAAAGTACCTCGAGAAATGCAAGTAAAATTTATTCACAAATGGACTAAGAAACAAAGACAGCTTAAATTGAAAGATGTATTGATGAAGCTATTAGTGGTTACTGTTTTCTGACTAAGTTGCTACAGACTTACAAATAAATCCACATCCTAATAATCATAGTTTCTATCCAACATTCTTGAATCTAATAAAAATTGTGGGCAAAGAGAAGTGATACTAACACAGTACTTTAGGACTAATTTGGACATCTTAACTCAGAGATGAATTGACAACCCCTCCCCCATTTAACTAAGTAATTAAACTCATTGATTCATTTCAGTAAATCAATATATTGAGTATGTTCTAGATATCATTTGGAACATTATGTACGTAACACTAAAAAACAAAGTAGCCAAACATTTAGTAAAACAGTTTACATGATAACAATTGTACCTATACTGAAAAGCAAACAATGTGTAACCACTGTAGGGTGAATTCATGAAAAAACAACTTCTACCTTGAGGGAAATAAATGGTAAGTAAAAGAAACTGTGCTCTAAACCTTGCATTTTAATAAGGCTTACCTCTGCAATCAAAGCATAATTTGGCACCATCATTGCAAATGGTCTAAACAGGGCTTTCAAATTATCTGGCAATTCAGTTCTGCCTGCATATCCAGGATTCATTGTGATAAACGCTGCACAAGTCATAATCAGCTTTATTTCCCGTCCCTCAAACATGAATCTGAAGAGCTGTTAAAAGAGAAAAAATTAAGTGAACACTTTCTGGATATACATAAATTATTTCATATAATTATTACTTGAATATAAGACTTGTGCAAGGAGCATTGAAGCAGACTACTGCCTTCTGTTGTTGGAAAAGAGAGAGATTTCTCTCTCGATTCGATCCTTACTTCCAATATCTGCTGGGCTCAGTGTTTCCAGTTCTCTGCCTCCTTTCCTCTTCCTGGCCCAATTTGTCTCTTTCTGACACAGTCTTGAAATCTAGGCTTCACTATCTTTTGCTTATACTCTTCATTTAGCTTAGATTTAGTGGCCACTGAAACCTCTCCTCTCTATTTCTGGTAGCCCTTGCGATACTCCAATCTGGTCTTAGGCTTTGTTGGTTGAGGCCCCACTATTGCATTTTTGGTACCATCCTGTTCACTTGCATTCAGCAGCAGCTGCTTGCTGAACACCTGTTACAGGTGAGCCTCTGGGTTAGCTGTGGAGGCACAGAACTTGAAATGGTCTCACTCTTGAGCCTTAGAGAAGCCTCCAGGCTTGCTGGGTGTAGCCAGCTCTGGAAACTGCAACTTTCGGTGAAGATTCTATAACAGAGGTGCGTGCAAACCTAATAGGGTAAACCGGCAGCCTGTTTGGGCCCTGAAGAAAGAAGGAAGGCATTTCAGATAGATACGCAAGGGTAGCTTCTCTGGGCAGAAGAAGGAATAAGAAAGAGCAATGCATGTCAGGAAATGACATCAGTAATGAAGTTCCATGGGGCAAGAATAGCTATTCCCGGCCTGACCATCAAGTGGCTTGAACACTCGGCTAAAGAATGACTTTTGTCCCATGATTGGGAGGAAACACAAGAGAGCTCATTAGGATAAAAGATAACAGTGGAGAGGTGGGTAAGCAAAGGACAGGGAGAGCAGAAAAGAATTGTCCCTGGGGAGATAATGTGAGTCCGAATCTGGGAGACTCGGATGAGAGGTACTAAGTATTTTATTTTATTGTAAAGATGCTGTACAGAGAGGTTACAGTTACATGAGTAAGGCAATGAGTACATTACTTGTCAGTCATGTTACCCCTTCCCTTGTTGTTGTCCCATCATCCCTTCCCTCCCCCATCTCCCATACTCTTCTCCACTCCACCCCTCCCCTCTGCCCGAAGTTGTAAAGTTTCCAATATATTGTCCTGTAGGTATCCTTGTTGCAATGGGTCATCTTGTGTCCTTGTTTCAGCATTTGGTTGTTCCCATTCTCCTCCCCAGATTGGACAAATGTATATATAAGATGTAGGGTACCAAAATCAAGTACAGTGACAACAGGGGATGTGCCATAGGGGAAAGAACATACAAAGGAAACAACAACAATAAAATAAAATCACATGGTATATTTAAAACAATAACAATAAAGACAGCACTCTTGTGCCCATCTCTTGGGGTTCATTTCACTTAGCATCATCTTATATGGTCGTATGTACATGGATTTTGAACTTTTCAGCTTATATGATAGGATTATCCTATATGTATACTAATTATTGCAAATAAGGGAAACCATGGGACCTAAATTTCTTTGGGACTGGGTTACTTCACAATATGATTTTTTTCCAAGTCTTTCCATTTCCTAACAAATGGGGCATGCTGTTCTGATGGAATTCCAGTGTGTGTGTGTGTGTGTGTGTGTGTGTGTGTGTGTGTGTATAACATTTTCTTAATCCACTCATCTACTGAGAGACATCTGGGTTGGTTCCATATCTTAGCTATGGTGAATAATGCTGTGATAAACATAGTCGTGCTTTAGTGTGGCCTTGTTTGTGATCATTTGGGTAAATGCCCAGAAGTGGGATTGTTGGGTCATAGGGGAGCTATATGTGTAGTTTTTTGAGGAACTTTCATCCTGATTTCCAGAGTGATTGGACAAGTTTACATTCCCACCAATAGGCACTAACTATGAATAAATATAATTTGGTGACAGTTTGAATTTGGGATAGTAATGGGGGCAAATGGCAAAGTCAAGGTTTCTAGTTGGGCCATTGGATGAAGGTTACACTATACCTGAGGAAGACAGGCAAGGCCAAGGTAGAGTTGGGGCCACGTGTCACACATCACCTAAAACCTTGGGAAAGTGTCAGGTACTTCACAAGGGTCTGCTAAACGATTAAAGTCTAATGAAAAGAAGTTAGTTACCATGACTTTGCCATTTAGCACCACTGGACTCATTAAAGTCCAATTTTTGCTTTCTTTTTAGTTCTGTAATTTGTTGCTTTGCAGAGGTGACAATTTAAATTAATAAGTCTTCATCAGAGTACTTTTAATGAGAATGACTTCTGTCCCTGAGCTGGAGCCTCAGGCCAGAAACCCTACTTGGCCAGGATAAATCTCATTCATGGAGTCTGAGGAAGTTTGAGGGCTCTTGTGAAAGGGATGAAGGGACTAGTGGGGGACTCAGGGCAGTTTTTGCCAGGGGCTCCGGCAGTTCTGGTTTGTACAGTCTGCTCAGTGCTGCCCTTTGGAGACTAACTCAGAAGGTTGACAAAGAGTTGTAGAGGAACTGCTCCCATCCTTGGATGCGATCAGTTTCCAAATACAAAACTCCTTCTTCAGGAGCTTGCTTCTGTGGGCCTAAAACAAATGTCAAACAACAGGAAGACTTTAGAATGTACATTTGGATTTCCCCATCTACTGAGGAATGGAGAGATGGAGTCCTTGGGTTTCTCCAGACTTGTCTCGTTTTTCTACCAGCACTACATTGAACCTAGAGGTCATGATGAGCATGGTAGAATCCAGCAAAGACAGCATAAAGAGAGAGAGAGAGCAAGAGAGCAGGGAAGTAAATGTCAAAGGCAAGAAGAAGAAATGTGAGGAGGAAAACAGAGTGTGGAGGTCAGAGGAACAGTGTGTGTGTGTGTGTGTGTGTGTGCGTGCGCGCGCGCGTGCGCGCATGCGTGCCAGAGAGGTGGCATGAAGAACAAAGGTCAGGGAATGTGTCACACAATCTTAGTATCCCTATGTCCCAGCATAGGGCATCCTCTTGGATGAGGAATTAATTTTTTCAAGTAAGTCCTGTTGCTACAGCTTTCATTAATTATACTAAAAATGCCTGTCTAAAGTTAGCACTGTCCTTCCTAAAATGCAATGATCTGGATTCATTACCAATTGGAGAAAAGCTACCTCAATGTTTTACCTTTGCAGCTTTGGCATTCCTGATGGTGATAAGTTGCTGGGCAATAACTGACAAAACTTCTATGTCAATTCGATTAAATTCATCAAAGCAGCACCAGGCCCCGGACTGTGCCAAGCCGCTGAAGAAGCGCCCCATCATCTGAAAGCAAGCAAGCAACAACAACAAGACAAAAAACATTCAATTTTAGATGGCATAGTTCAACTCCTTCAAAAGTTAAACTATTGTCTTGGGGTGGTAGCTCAGTGGTACAGTATTTGCTATTAAATTCTAGGCTGAAATATTAAGGAGACAAGAGGCTTGTAAACAGGCAATAGCTTGATGTCAATATTACTATGACTGTTATAGTTAACTGTATTATATGTCAGAAACAAGCACCTATTTACAAGAGGAAATAGAAATTTGCTTCTCTTTAAGTGATTCACATCTAATTTTTTATTTTTAGGTAACATGATAATCTGATCAATGTTTTTTCTTTTCTGTTACATCTGTTGACCACTGAAGAACTGGATGCATCCTCAAAGAATCCAATGCACAGAGGAATCAAACAAGTACTTTACAGAAACTTTGGGGGAATTCTACTAATGGAAACTTCCATTGTCTTTAGAGAATCCTCTCGATGGATGCCTTCTGGGCAGAAGGTATCCTTTCACGGGATAAGGTCATGGTTCTTGATTTAGTCTGTGGCAGAATCCTAGTGGTGAAGAAAAATGAGTAACTGTGGCTATCTGAGTGAGGAAAGACTTTGGACATCTAATTCCAGTATTAGTTCATCCTAAATCAATGACATCTGTAATCATTCTGTTCACCAATCAGATAGTCCTTCAGGTACTGGGTATTAGGATCTGAGTATCTTTTTGGAGAACATAAGTTAATTCAAATTCGGAGTGAGGTGCTGGTAGAAAATAGGGGAAATTCTGTGATGTATATAATAAAAATACCTACCCAGAATGCTTAAGAACAGCCTACCAGAAGCTGTCACAGGTAAAGATGCAGCAGTTACTTGATGTAGCCAGAAGAGAGGGCTGTTGAGTCATATTTTTGTGGTTTGGATAGAGTTGTTTTATGTTTGTGGTTTAGACATGATTATGGCATTTTTTTTTTTTTTGGTTTTGCTGCTCAGTGGATGTATAGGGGCCTAATGTAATGTTGGTAGTTGGTGAAATTATGTTCAGCTAGACAAGCAAACAGTGGGATTAAGCCAGGTTAATCTTTCAGTGGATGGCCATCAGGGACTCCTCCTCCCCTTTGTTCAAGAGACCAAGTGTTTAGCGGTTGGGTCATCATTGGGAACAATGTTTAGAGTTATTTCTACCATTTTGTTTTGGAACATTTTTACTTTGTATAAGAGGTAGAAGATTACCATCATTCTGCCATTTTCAATACTTTCCAGCAATTTTTACTGTTGCTAAAGGAAAGTTCAGATAGTACATTATTTCATCGTAGATTTTCTGAAATGTAAGAAGCTAACATTTCAGGTCCCACCCAAGATCTACAAATCAGAATATGCATTTCATTTTTAATCAGAATATGTATTTTAAAGAGGTTTAAATTGAACATGTCCTGGTGACATTTTCCAAAAAGAAATGTATTGATTACCTGACTTATGATAGAAATTCCTCTCTATAACATCTTAATAATAACAATAAAATTAACATGTCCATTTATATTTACAATGCATCTTGACCAGAGTCACTCTTCTCTCATTCTTTCCCCAGAATATGTATTTATATTTAATAAAAGATCTCTAGATGATTCATGTGCCCAGCGTAGCTACACAAACATTGTCTTTTAGAAGAAGTAAAGAAAATGGAAAAACAAAGTAAATACCAGTCTACTACTGCAAGTTCTTAGAATGTTTTCATTTGAGAGTTTGAGGTTTTGTGAAGTTATGTTGATCTTTCTCTATGGGTCTAATATTCCATAAATTCTACCATGAACAATCTGTGTGTGCCACGTGAAGGGTTTGCACAGTTTTTACTTTCAGCCCTCAGGCAGAGCAAAGCAAACAACTGTACCAATACAACAATGTGTACATTTGGCTGTCAGTATAGTCTTTATTTAAAGGTTCTGGAAAGTGTCCAAAGTTAATATGGAAAAACATAGAAATAAATTTATGTTTTTGCCATTTTAATAGCAATCACCAAAAGAACTAAAAATAAATAAGCATCAGTGAAAGTTTAAAAGTACGTTTAGAGGAGTCTTTTTTTTATTTTGTACATTTTTTATTATAAAAATGCTGTACAGAGGGGTTGCAGTTACATGAGCAAGGTAATGAGTACATTTCCTATTGAACATTGTTGCCTCCTCCTTTGTTTCCCCCCTACCATCCCTTCCCTCCCACTTCCACAACTATGCCCACGCCTGCCACAGAAGTTGTAAAGATTTTTTTTCAGCATAGTGTTTTATACATCTCATTGTTACAATGGGTTATCCTGTATCCTTACTTAAGCATTTTGTTTTTTCCCTCCCCCTCCCTGAATTAGAGAAGTGTCTATTCAGGGCCCCAACGTCAAATACAGTGAAAACAGGGGTTATACCATGGGGGAGGAACATACAAAGAAACAAAAATAATCAGCCATTCTAATAAGTAGCCATCCTAACTGGAGTGAGGTGGTATCTCAATGTTGTTTTGATTTGCATTTCTTTTATGACTAGGGAGGTTGAGCATTTCTTCATGTGTCTATTGGCCATCCTTCTTTCCTCTTCAGAGAAGTTTTTAGAGGAGTCTTGAGGTCAAAGTGATATACAGAGGGGTTACATTGATGTGAGTCAGGTAATGAATATAATTTCCTTTTGTACAGTGTCATCTGTCTCCTCATTCTCTAATATTCCTTTCTTAATAGAGCACACAGCTGTTTGAAGCTAGTTTTCTTGAAATACTTCAACCAAAACAACATATTGCAAATAGACTGAATGTGGCAGCAAATATGAGAATCTGGCTGTTTTCTAGCAGGTCAAACATCAGAGATTTTAAAAAGTAAAAAAAATGATGCTAATTAATTTGTTTTGTTTAGGAAGCTGTGTTACACAAAATATGTTTTTGTTCACATGGAATGGGCTTGTTAATATTTTAAAACAAAAATTATATAAATAACCCACTTTTATTTCTAACATGGTGATTATCAGCAGATGTAATCTGTAAGAATGTAAGAGCAAGTGCCAGTAGCTCATGCCTGTAATCTAAGTATTCAGGAGTCTGAGATCTGGAGATCATAGCTCCAAGCCAGCCTACACTGACAAATCTGAGAGACTCTTATCTGCAGCTAACCACCCAAAAGCTGAAAGTGAAGGTGTGGCTCAAATGGTAGAGTGTCAGTTTTGGGCATAAAAGCCAAGGAAGAGTACAAGTTTGTGTACAAGCACCAGTGCTGGCACAGGCACGGGCACACTTGCACACATGCAGAGTGTGGAAGGCTCCATGACCCAAAAGCTCGAGAACCTTATCACTATGCTGTATCGCATACATATTGCTGTCAAGACACAAGTCTTCATTTCCCATCTTCTCTTGTAAGCTTATTTCTTGTTCCTTGGTTTTACTGATATCTTCTTATATTTTATCTCATTTCTTTCCATGTACGGACACATAGATATTTAAATTTTCTACCATTTGGTAACACCTCCCCTGGCCTCAGTTTTCTCTTGGGCTACCCAGCTCACAATGCATTCGCTCCTCTGGTTCTGTTTACTCTAACCATTCCTTGATCCAGGTCTTTCCCCTTGTTTTCCATCACCCCATTCTCTCCTTGTTTTGTTATATCTTGTTGAAAACGGAGAGAACCACATGAAACACCTGAAATTAGTATTTAGACGGATGAACTGTACCTTGTAGTCCAAGCCATCGGAACAATTAAAGACCACACACTGGATAGCAAGAGCTTTTGCTAGGTCTTTGGTGGTCTCTGTTTTCCCAGTGCCAGCAGGACCAGCTGGTGCACCCCCTAGGTCAAGCTGCAGAGCCCCCATGAGGCAAAGATAGCAGCGATCCTAAAGAAGTCAATAAATTGTCATTATTAAAGGAATTGACTTTGGATACAAATTCCTAAGTCATTTTCTTTCTTTAGGAAGAGGGTCACTATTCCCATGAAACATTTTATAGCCACTGAAACATACTCAAAGATCTGTATATAGCTAAATAATGCAAATCTTGGTTTTACAAAGTTGTAGTACATCAATTCTTTTCAAAAGTTTATGCTAGATAAAAAAAATTATGCTGGTTAAAAACATTACTCATATTGCCAGGTATGGTGGCTCATGCCTGTAATCCCAGCTACCTGGGAGGCTTTGATAGGAGGATTGTGGTTGGAGAAACAGCCTAGGAAAAAAAAATTAATAAGAGCTAATCTCAAAAACTAAGCTGGGCATGGTGGTGCATGCCTGTGGTCCCAGCTACTGGGGAGACACAGGTAGGAAATTGGCCCAACAAAAGAAAGCAAGACTTCACCTGAAAAAAAGGTCTGGGGGTATGGCTCAAGTGGTAGGCAAATGAGTCCCTGAGTTCAAATCCCAGGACTGGGGAGTGAAAAACACTTGTGATAACTTATACAAGTCAGTCACTTACCGTGAGAGGAGTAATAACTAATCTTGGACAGGCTCCCAAATATTCATAGCCGTAAGTGTACTGAGAAAGTGCCATTCTAGCTACGCAATTATCCAGGTCGACATCCCAGTAATAGCGCAGTTGCCTCTGCCAGTCAAAGGAGTTGACTGTGTCTACCTACACAAAAGTGATAAGCATAATCTCAGATGTGAGCGTAGAGGACACACATATTTCAGAAGTAAGTATGTGAATTGACCTCAGTCAAATGTTTACCTTGGCTTGCACAAGTTCAGTGACTATATCTCTTGCGTGCACATCAATGGTAATCAATGCAGTTATAATGTTTCTGTGGATTTTAGGAAGACTGCCTCGAACTAGTGCAGCGAGGGCATTTAATCTCTATAATTACAAACAAAAAAAAAACCCTGTCCATGATTTTTTTCCACATTAGCTTGTTTACTCATATTTTTACCATTAAATTTAGAGCACCTATCTCCTAAAAACCATCTAAGAATTTATAATTCTGTAACAAAGTAATGCTTCCACTAATTCCCATTGGATTTCTGTGAAATATTTACTGTCTTATTCTTACCTTTGAGGAGACTGACAGAGTGGTAAATAACTTGCTGGCAGTCACAGAGTTATAAGGTAGGAAAGAGGCTCCAGTAGACCTTTGTTTGCCTGTCCTGGGGACTCCACACTGTCCCTGAGCAATTTTTTTTTAGCTCAAGGCTAGCTCTACCACTTGAGCCACAGCTTTACTTGTGGCTTTTTCTTGGTTAATTGGAGATGAGACTCATGGACTGCCTGAGCTAGCTTCAAACCATAATTCTCAGGTTTTAGCCTGGTCAGTAGTTAGGACCACAGGCACGAACCACTGGTGTTTGGCCCAGGAAAGTTCACATTCTCAATCGCCACATATGCTGTCTCTAGAGGAATATCTGTTTGAAAATTAAATGTAATAGAAGGTGATGCTTTTCACTTCTAGGGGGTAGTTTTTCCACTGGTAATCAGAAAACCTGAGCATTTTAATCAGGACAATGACTAATTAAATAAGTACAACTATTTGTAAAGCTCTTGCTTTCCATTTAATTGTTAAATCTTTATCAAAGGGAAGGGGTGCCTCTGAGGGTTGAGGACCTCTGATGGATTGTCACTCAGACCAATCTCAGCTGAAGCAGCTACTATGGAGAGGTCAGTACAACTTTCTTTGGGAAGTTATTTCTGTCTTCTGGGGCTCAGGACTTATTGTGAGCTTAAACTTCTCTTTAAAACATCAAGCTGGGTACAGGGGTTCATCCTTCCAATTCTAGCTGCTAGGGAGGCAGAGATGGGAAGGATTACAGTTTGAGATTAGCCTGGGCAAAAATGTTAGGATCTCCTTCTTTAATAAAAAACCTGGTCATTGTGGCATATGACTGTTAATCTCAGCTACATAGGAAGTATAAACAGGAGGATCTCAGTCCAGGTCTGCCTGGACATAATGTAAAATTCTATTGGGAAAAATAAACCACAAGAGAGTTTGGGACATGGCTCAAGTGGTAGAGTGCCTGCCTAGAAAGCAGAAAGCACCACGTTCTAACTCTAGTGCTGGTAAATAGGTGTGCATTCACACACAGACACATACACTCACACACACACACACACCACATAAACTTTTTTTATATATATATAAGCGAGTTCCACAAAGACAAACATCACTTTTTCTTTTGTGGAAACTAAGGTAAAGCAAAGCAAAACAAAAGAATCAAGGCTATGAAAGTAAAAGGGGGACTGTTAGGAAGGAGGAAGGGGAAGGGAAAAGGGGAAAAAGGTGTGTGTGTGTGTGTGTGTGTGTGTGTGTGTGTGTGTGTGTGTAGGGGGGAGGATAAAAGTGTAATAGGGGCCAGGCACTGGTGCCTCATACCTGTAATCCTAGCTACTCAGGAGGATGAGATCTGAGGCTCAAGGTCCAAAGGTCCAGCCTGAGCAAGAAAGTCCATGAGACTCTTTTTATCTCCAATTAATCACCAAAAAGCTGACATGGAGCTGTAGTTCAAGTGATAGGGTACCACCTTTGAGCAAAAAAGTTCAGAGACAGCACCCAGGTCCTGAATTCAAGCCCCAGAAATGGCACATACACATAAAAAAGAATAATGAGGGAAAGGATAACTATGAACAAAATGCATTATATGCATGTGTGGAAATGTGATGAAAGCCCTTATTATGTCAAGTTAATATGTGCCAATAAAAATACATAAACTTCTGTGAGAGGTATGCTGACCCTAGTACATACATTTAGTACCTAACAGTTGCAAACCATTGTAACACTGATGCTTTCTTCTTGAGTTGTTTTTTTTTCCGTTGTTTTAATGAGTACTCATGTAAACTTTAAATAAACACCAAGGATTTAGTGTCCTTAAATAACAATGAACAACCTGGTTTCAGTGAGGATCCAGAAGTGCTTTGAAAGTCACATGAGGCCATTGGAAATTTTGCAATCAGGTGCATTTGCATTTGCAGTGGTAGTAAAAGCCACCAAGACCATCTGTTACAGCAATATGCTCCATATCACTGTTAAATCTCACCTCAAAATTTACTTTTTCAAAAACTTCCAGGGCCTCTAAATGACTCTTCTCTTCTGTTTGTAGACACTCTGTCAAATCACGGCACCACATGATTTGAGAAACGGTCAAGATGACCTACGATAAAACATATGCTTTATGTGTGGGAGTCATCTCACCAAAACACAAAGGATCCAGAGACAGACATCTAACAAATGTGTTACTTGAGAAGCATGGCCAGAGATCACCCATTCTGTCCTCGGTTTCCCCTGATAGTCAGCCATGGCAGCCTTGCACAGGCGGCGCAGAGATGAGAACATGGCTTCTTCTACTTTACCCAGCCATTCCTCCACGTTGCCTCGGGCCTTGAGGCCTTTGCCCAAGCTAACCTAGAAGGTAATTAGGACAATGATAAAACAGTTCAGTGGAACTTGTAACCTGGGCATCTTCTCTTTCTCTGTCTCTCTCTCTGTCTCTGTCACTCTCTGTTTGTCTGTCTCTCTCTAGTTGGTTGTAGGCTTGAACTCGGGGCCTGGGAGCTGTCTTTGAGTGCTTTTGCTCAAGGCTAGCACTCTACCACTTTGAGCCACAGCACCACTTCCAGTTTATTTATTTATTTATTTTTGAGTAGTTAATTGGAGATAAGAGTCTCATTGGGACTTTTCTGCCTAGGTTGGCTTCAAACCACAATCCTCAGCTCTCAGGAGTAGCTAGGATTACAGATGGGAGCCATCTTTTCTATTTCTGTAGCAGAACCATGGGTTACACAAACACAGAAAGCTGAAACTTGTGATTGCTACCCTAGTCCTGCTCCTCATTCCCCACTCCCCACTTCCTTCCTCACTGCTTTATTTCTCTGCTTCCTCCTCCTGAGCCAGTTCCTAGACAGGGGAGTCTTCATGTGCCACATGATGTTCTTCAGATATTTTCTTTGGCATACATGCTATTATCTGAGTTTTACCCCCGACCATACCACTAAAGATTTTTCTCATTAACGTTACCCATGTCACCACAACTACTTCCAAGAATATGACTGTCCTGTTTGTTTGCCACTCTGTCATCCGTTCTTTTATACTCGAAGTTTCACATTTTGCCAAGATTCGGTCCCAAATCCTCCCTTTCTGTTTTGCACTATTGATGAGCAGATTCTTTAGCAAGAGGACCGATCTGGGACAAAAAAATATTTATAGGTTCCCAAGACTCCCATCACTGTGCTTGAATTGGGCTCAAATCCTTGGCATTTCCCTGTGCAGTTCTGGAATGTTCTACCCTCTCATGGTCACACAGAGATACTTCTCATCTTTATTGGCTGATTAAGTGTGTGTGTGTGCGCGCACGCACACATGTGCACACACATGCACATGCGTGCACATACGCGCATGTGCTCTGTTGTAGTCACATTTGCTGATGCATTCATGCTCACCAAGAGCAGTGGAGTGCTCTAGAGATGCCACTGCAGTAACTACCACTTCCGTAGTGCTCTACTTTACAGATCCTCATTATCCCACTAGTCAGGTTCTATTGTGATCCACATTTTACAGAAGACATTAAAGGATGAGTCTTGGATCCAGAAAGCCTGGAAGAGAACTGGTGCTCTCAGTCACCCACTACAGCATCTCCTGTGGAGGGTTGGATAAATACAACTACAATTTTCTCCATTCTGGTTCCAAGAAGAGAGAACAACTGTCTTGTTATTGCTTTTGATAGTAGTATTTTAGCTATTTTGCAATTTCCCCACTAGACCAGGAACAATTTTGAGGCCAAGGCTCTTTTGAGCTTTGAAAAGGCTGAGCTAGCAGAACACCAGGCATTCTTAGAGAGAGAACAGATAAACCTCTAGCCCTACCAGAATAACAAAGCTTACTGATAAGGAATTATGACAAAGCATCTTACCCTTTCTCCCTCTGGCGACAGCATTGCCAGAATATCATTAGTATAAATTTTCTCTGGTTCTGTATCAATGCCAGGAATTTTCCCTTCAGTAGGAGGCATGAGTGCAAATTCAAGCCTTGAAATGGAGTCAAAGCACTTCCTTAAGTGTGGCTGCACAGCCTGGGGATTTCGTGTCTGGGCCAAAATCTCCAGAAGTTCGTCATTTGACAAGAAGTAAAATCTAGATTAAAGAGAATCCTTAATGAGCTTGGAGATGAGCCATAGGTAGACAAAAAATGATTTCCACAGTTGTATTTCTTCCCATGCACTGATTTCCTGGACTTTTGACTATATTGGTTTGGATTTCTGGGGAGACTGTGAGTCTCTTAAGTAAGTTTTCTGTGAAGATTAGTGATGATGCGGTTTAAACGTCTAGAATTAGTGGCTAGTATAATTTTTTCCATAAAAGTTATTAAAAAGGCTAGCTTTTGCTTAATTAGCTTTGTTTCAGTATCTGACTTGCCTTTATTCCTAAAGATATATTGCTTATTTCCCCTGATTCTATTCTAGTACCTTACATATACCTAGTATTCAATACATTCTCTTTTTTGTTTGTTTGTTTTTTTTGGTGCTAGTCCTGGGGCTTGAGCTCAAGATCTGAGGACCTGGGCACTGTCCCTGAGCTTTATTGTTTAAGGGTAGTACTTCCCACTTGAGCCATAGGCTTTTTGGTGCTTTAATTGATCTTTCCTGTCTGGGCTGACTTCAAAACATGATCTTCAGAACAGGCATGAGCCACTGGTGCCTGACTAATACAAATTGTCAACACATTTTTTTCAACTCTATGAAAGCTATACTTACATAGAAACAAAACATTTTGTATGCATTTCAACAATGTTATCAGAAAGATGGGTAAAAAATCTTGTGAACTCTTGTGAAACTCTGGAACACCACTTTGTTATAGATAGGGGATTGGCAAACTAAAGTCCACAAGCTGAATCTGGCTAGCTACTTGTTTTTTAAAATATAATTTTATTGTTATTATTAAGGTGTTATTCAGAGGGGTTGCCATCGCATAAGTTAGGCAATGAATACATTACTTTTTTGGACAATGTCACACCTTCCTTCATTCCCCTCTCTCCCCCTTCTCCCCCATTTCTCCTTCCTGTGACACAGTTTACTTTCCATATAGTGTATACTGAATAGCATGATTGCATTTGTTAACTCTTCCTCCCTTCCTTGCAGTGCCCCTCTAAAAACAAAAAAATACAAAGCAAAAACACCACCACCACTACCAATTACAATACAACAACAACAAGAAACTCCAGTCTCAATTTCATGTAATTCATTTTGATAAATGGTGGCTACTTGTTTTGTAAATAAAGAGTTATTGTCACAGAGATGTGTAGATAAGCTGTCTATGGCTCCTCTTGTTCTAAAATAGTGGAACGGAACGGATACAATAGACTATATGGTTGACAGGGCTTTTACATATTTGCTGTGTGGCCTTCTATAAAATGTGTATGGTCCCTACTCTAGGTAACTAAAATATCTAAATGCCAGGTTTGCTTGAACTTAGATCTGGGCACTGTCTCTGAGTTTCTTTTACTCAAGGCTAGTACTCTATTACTTGAGCCACAGCTCCACTTGTGACTTCTTTTGGCAGTTAATTGGAGGTAAGAGTTCCCAGACTTTCCTGTTTGGGCTAGCTTTGAACTGTGATTCTCAGATCTCAGCCTCCCGAGTAGCTAGGTGTGAACCACTAGTGCCCAGCTGTGCCAGCTTTTCTGTAATATAGTTTCAGTACTGTGTTTAAGCTTTCCAGTGGAATTTGACTTGCTAATTCCAGTTGACTTTGTGGTTCAAAGGAAAAGTGGGAGCTTCAAGGTAGTAGGAATAATTAAATATTGAGATATAAGACAGTGGTTTGTGCACATTTTTTCCCTATTCAGTAAGAGACCTTTTCTTACTGCTGCCACCCTCCCTATCTTTCTTACTTTTTGGAGGATTAAGTGCATAAAGCAGCGTTTAGTAAATGTCCTGGGTTGCTGGTTGCAATAAGGAAGAGCTTGAATGACTTTCCTTAGAAAATCATTCAGCTGGGGCTTGGGAGGTGGCTCAGTGGTAGAGTGCTTGCCTTGCATGCATGAAGCCCTGGGTTCGATTCCTCAGCATCACATAAGCAGAAAAAAAAGCCGGAAGTGGCGCTGTGGCTCAAGTGGTAGAGTGCTAGCCTTGAGCTGAAGAGCTGAGGGACAGCGCCTAGGCCCAGAGTTCAGGCCCCACGACCGGACCCTTCTCCTTCCCCCCACCCAAAAGAAAATCATTCAGCTAAGTTTTCAGCTAAGTTTTAGATTAGATTCTTCTCATGAAATGTGCTTCTGAGACTGAGAAGCAGAAGCCACTATTTCACCCTCACCTCCTGGACCTTAAGTATGTATAGCATGGATGTATTGAGAAGGCAGTGTTTCTTCTTTGGCTGTCAGATCTTCCTGACCTTCATCCCTTTTGTGTGGTAAGGAGCTGAGACTGACCACAATTCAGATATTTCTGCTGGTGCTTCCAGATTTTCTTTGAATGGTCCACATTTTTTCCCTTCTACTACTGTGACAATTTCTTATTTCCTGCTGATCAACTTAAGGGTAATTTCCCAGGACACCCAAGCTAATTTTTCACATATGTGGACACATAATATAGACATGTATACACATGCTCATCTATCCAATAGACATGTGTACACATGCTCATCTATCCAATGGTAGACCAGTGCTATAATCAACAATCCTTTCAGCGCTGTGAATATTTAACCCACTCAAATCTTTACCAAGTATTGTAGATTTATTCTTGAGACTTAACACTTCCCAATCAATATATTGGCTAAAGTTTCATTATCATAGATCTCTCTTTTCTCTCTCTCTCTCTGATTTTCTGATATTTTGAGGTTATAACCATAACAGTCAATTACTAAAGAGATATCAGTGTTTTACAAACTTACCTTGGAAAGATAACTCTCTTTGATTCTAAATATGCTTCTAGACACTTCTGAATTTGGTCAAGTAATGCATTGTTGTTCTGAAAAGTCTCAAGAAGACCTGCTCAGTGGGAAAAAATAATATTGGTAAAGTTATATTCAAATAGAGAAAGCAATTTAAAGGAAAAGTAGAATATACTATCTTATTATAAAAATCTTTAGTTTGATTTGATGGACAGTTGGGTTAATAATAACCTAAGAACCTTATTACTTTTAATAACATTCATTTTAATATTTCTATGTATTTCACTTGAAATATTTTTAGCTGGCATCTGCCATTGTTAGGGGACTGGAACTTCACAAATAAAAGCCAGTGTGGCCGGGTGCTGGTGGCTCACACCTGTAATCCTAGCTACTCAAGAGGCTGAGATCTGAGGATCACGGTTCAAAGCCAGCCCAGGCAGGAAAGTCCATGAGACTCTTATCTCCAATAAACC